ACCAGGCAAGGTTTCCATGTCTCCAGTGTAAACTAGGGGCACAGACTAAGTCTCAAGGCACGGACAATGCAATTTGATGGGTTGTAAGCAAATCTCTATAGCCGTAGTGTCTACTTTTGGAAGCAGAACCTAATGTGTTAAATTCAGAAGAGTGGAGCTGCTTTGCTTGGAAGTGCAGGGAAGGGAAAAACAAAGTCCATCTCCTCTCCCCAAGCTCCTGGGTACCATGTCTCTTCCTTTGCTGGGACTACCTCGCCTGGGGTGATTGGCAGTGGGAAAGAAAGAGCCTTCTTGTATCAGCAAATAAGGCTGTCCCGTGACGTAGGTAGAGAAGGAGTGTCCTAGAACATTCATTAGTGTCAGTTCTGATAAAAACTTTCCGACATAAGAAGCAGTTGACCTGACCTAGTGAGAGCACAGAGACCCTAGTCGTAAAGCAGGGTAACCAGCATTGGACCAAACCAAGCCCTCTGAATGTGGGTGCCAGCTAAGAGGTCTGGGCAGTCTATGGGACCTCTAACAGTGGAGTCAGTGTCTATCCCTAGTGCACGAATGGACTTTGGGAGTCCATTCCCTGTGGAGGGATACTATTACAGCCCAGATACATGAAAGAGGGCCTAGGCCCTCCTCCAAATGATGTGACGGACTTTGATGGTCCCCTGTGGAAGGTCTCACTATCCTTGGGGAGTCGGTGGGGGGGTGGCTTGGGGGGGGATGAGGGGCATGGGAGGTCAAGGGAACAGGGGGATTGATATATAAAATAAGATTGTTTCTAAAATAAAAGAAAAATTTCTGACATGAGTGCATTATAGAAGTGGAAATCCAGCAGAACTGTGATCTTCCTGTCAACTGTGTGGTTTAAGAGAGAGAGGCTATAGCTGCAGTTGCAGGACCCAAAGGTCCTCAACACAAAATGTCCCTGGATGCCCACGCAACCTCTGCTCTCCTCCACCAACTCTTTATAGAAGCTGCAGTCTGCATACACTGACAAATAAAACACATGCCCAATTCAGACAGCAAGAAAAACACAGAATGGTAGATTTGAGAAGCAGAGGACGAACTGCTCTGGACACTGTAATGGAGTCATTACAAAGCCACAGGTGCTTGCTTGACAGAAGCAATGAAGCTGATGCACCTTACAGGCACACAGATGTTTCAATTCTCAAAAGTCCCCCAGTTTTGCAGGTAAAGAAACTGCAGGGGCTCATAGAGCCTGGAAACCAAGCTACCAAATGGCAGCAGGAAGATTCAAGCCCACTAAAGCAGAGCTACACTACACTGCCTTTGATTGACTGTGATGTCCACACTAGAATTCTCAGCAGGAGACATTGCAGAGAAAGATAAAACAGCACAGCAGGGTCTTCCATGTAATAACAATGTGTCCGGTTCACACCCATGACGCATCATAACTCAGAGCACGCAGGACAGTGGCCTCAGTCAAAGAAGTATTACTTAACTTTTTCTGGTGCAAAAACAATTCCTGATATTACCTAGTTGCAGGCTATCTGTTAGTCTACAATGAAGAATGACCACTGCAGCTTGGAAACACCAATTCTTCCTGAGATTCGGGAAAGTCTGAGCAAGTAGCCCTACTCTATCCCAGCAACGTGACACGGAACTGGAGAAAACAGAAAGAAAGATTGGCTCCTGTAGTTTCAGATACGTAGAGCTCTAGGAATAATCTGAAATTTCACTTATACAGTTGAAATTGTAAAGTCTCAAGGCAATATTTAATTAAGGTTTAGTGATTAGCAAGGTGACATGTGCAGAGTGGGCATCTGGTGGATCATTCCAGAACAAATGGCTGAATTCATAAACACAATGTTAAGGACAGATAGGCATTGTTCTTTCATACACTTGAACTGTTTTTTTAACTCCACTATGTAGATCCCATGACATTTCCTTGTTGGCAGTGTTTTCCTTTTGCTTTGAATCCCAGGATCTCTAACTCAAACAAAGGAAAGGAAGTCCTGTCCATCTTGAGAGAGGAAAGGAAACAACTGGCCCCAAGTAACGAAAAGCAGAGGTGAGGCTCTGGTCTTTGAACTGAAACAAGGGTAAAAAAAAGCAGCAACTGCTTCTTCCAAAAGGCTTTATTTGCATCTGAGAAAACACAAACCCATTCTCCAGCAGAGCATGCGGACTTTTGACATAAACATGTGTCTTTAAAGACACACCGTGGTGACAGGCAAAAACTAAAAACATTTTCAGTATGAACAACTAACACCAACAGTTGTAAACTCAGGCCAAGGGAAAACATCTCTTTCTCAAAAGCGTTTCAGTGCCCTCAGGACTCCATACTGAATCGATATGCACTCAAAAATAACTATTCCTTCTCTAAAGGAACCTTTAAAATTAACCCAAGCAAAGGAACACAAGTATATCCAGTTGTTGCTAAGATGTTAGCTGAGATCCATACCGGTCAAACTGTTTAGCAAATGTCTGTCCTGTTTGAAAGAAAAATCAATCCATCCATCCATCAAGACAGGTCTAAGCAAAATAATGAAGATCCTTAGAACATATTTTATACCATCCAACAATGGCATCCTTTCACCAGTGGCCAATCCAAGGTTCTCTGTGCATGCTCTAATCTTAGGACAATCAATAGCATTATCTGTGGGGGTGCTCAAGTCTCTGCTATTGTGCAAGGCTTTTAGCTCATTTTAGCAACATTAAAAAAATGATGCAGGGTGCCTATAACCATGAACTTAGCCACCTTCACACAACCCACTGGTAGAGCAAAAGCACTGCAGTTTGTTTTGACAAGCAGAGGTTCTACCAAATGGTAAAGCCCAGGGGACAAATAAAATGGCCAATGGACCTACACACATCAGGTGACGTAGAGCCTTAGACCCAGGAGGGAGCAGCCTCATTTCCAAGAGACAAAACGGTGTTTCTTAAAAAGTGAGTAGCAAGAGTAAGTGCAGTAGCTGTGCTTTCAAAAATAGCAAACTAAACACAAGCCGTGCTAAAGATTTCCAAACTGAATGAAATGTGGGCTTTCAAAAATCTATCACCTCTCTTTCTCTCTCTCTCTCTCTCTCTCTCTCTCTCTCTCTCTCTCTCTCTCTCTCTCTCTCTCTCTCTCTCTCTCTCTCTCTCCCGTTCCCCCACAAGAAAACATGTAAGATGTGGTAGAATAAATAGCATAGCTGACGTGGGCATAGACGACCAGGGACTTAACTTTCATTACTATCTCATTTCCCTAAGTGGTTGGCGCAAAGTGGACGTAATAGTTACAAAGACAAAATATTTAAAACGGTGGAGGTTACATATTTAACTGCACTAGGTTCTTCTGGCCTGGTAGTTGCCAGAAGAAACCTGCAAGGAATGACAAAGCTTTTTTTTTTTAATTAACAAAATGCACTTGCCTTGGTTTTAGACGACACAAAACTAAGCATGCATTTGAAAGCGGAGCATCAGTCATCGAAACTGAATCCTAGCATGTCTTAGCTGTTAAGAATACAGAACTGGCTTCAGAGATTGGCCCACACATCTTTACCCTTAAGAACAGAAACATTTCTGAAGTTTACAAAATATGTACAATGTATGCATTACTTGAGACAAACCTGGAAACCATATTTGTCTTTCTGTCTGTTTCTTGTCCTGAGGAAATAATCAATCTGATACAGACACAGGCAAAAGTGGAATACATCCATGGTTTGGGGAAGGCCCCTCATTTGGAACAAAACAACCTGTATGACAAAACCACATACTAACACGGGACAACAATTTGTACAGTATCACCCAGACTCTTTTTTTTTAATATTATTATTTTTTCCATTGTTTCAAAATATACACTCACTCCTAAGGAGAAAAAGGAAGACTTGGGTTAATAACTGAATCTGGAAGCCACAGGTTTCCCAGCGTGCCATTAAAATCCCCACACCCTTACTTGAGAAGAGAAACATATAAGGGAGCTGCCCGGAAGTGCCCCTTACTTTTATTCTCAGTTGGATTTCCCCATCTCCATAACAGGTTCTTCCCAGTTTTCGTTCTCGAATCTCCAGAGAAGCATGCAAATACAGGCAAACACGTACCCTGCATCTCCCACAGACCATGCAGATTCACTGACACCATGACAAAGAGGCAGCAACAACACCGCAATCGCTGCCATCCGCTGTAACAGTGAGACCTGGATATCCCTTAAAACACTCTTTATCCTTTAAAACGCTCCCATTCCCACACAGTGTTCGACTTCCTCCAGGAACTTTAAAGGCCCAGAAAGACGAAACAGGTTGCACCCAAGAGACAAGAAGGAAACAGAATGTGCTCTTCGGAGATGAGGGCAAAATGAGCAACTGTGGTCTGTTGCCCACAAGTTCAGCGTTTTTAGAAAATGCCAGTCCAGACCCCAGACACCCGTGTTATGTCATGGAGAAAAGTAAATAATAGTGGCCACTGTTTTTAAGAGTAAGAATAGTAATTACAATTGTCACCAACAGCCTTCGGTACAGCAGCTTGCACGTGGAGCCGCTCCTCCAGCTCCACCGCCTCAGCCTCCCGGCATCCTGCAGAAATAGGGGGCACTAGCCTGGTGCCTGCAGAGTCAGTGGGTGGATTCAGTGGGCGGGGTTTGTGGGAGTGGCCGCGTGGGCCCCGCCCCTCGCTCCTGTCGCCCTAGTCCTCGTGCGCCTGCGCTTCCCACCCGCCCAGAGCTGGCTCCTGGTTGGTGGCGGAGCTATGAGCTATGGACCAGGCTGTGGTAGCGCTTGGGATGCAGCTAATGGAACAGCATCCTATTGAAACTTTGAGACCTAACTGGAGACTCGCTAGACGGTCACTGGCAGCCAGAACTCGGGACAAAGGAGATGGATGTGGGAAAGCTGGTCTGTTTGCTTATAGGCAGGGTCGCGTAGGAGCCCGCCTCTTCGGGCGCGGTGGGTGGGGTGGAGGGGTCTCCTCACAACTAAGGAAACTTGGGGCGAGCGCGTGCGCTGCCTGCCCACAGACCTGGAGCGAGCTCTGGCCTGCAGTTACTTTTCGCGGGTAAACCGCTCCTCTGAAAAACTCGAGGGTTCCCCTGCCAGGCAGACTGCGGGGCAGCCGGTGCCAGGCGCTGAGTTTGCCCTGCAAACAAAGGCGCATTGGGGGCGGGGGTTTTGCTTCTGATGTCGTTATTTCAGTATAAACTGGGATTCCCCTGCCTTTAAGAAACATCTCATTGTATTAAAGCCTATCTTATTTTTGAATTGTATAATTATGGCCAAATTATGTTGGCTGAAAGTTAAAAACAAGTCAATATCATACAAGAAAACAGTTGTGAGTGGTTAGATATTGTGGAACTTCTGAAGGTTTTACAATAGAAGGATTTTTCACATCTTCTTTTCACCAAAACTCCTTCTAAATCTATACTGATAATATTTGAGAGGTAGCGAATGAAATGCCATGTCTACATTTGGAGAGGGGTGCGGTCACCATTTCCTGACCGAAAATTGTGGTGGCTGATTGAATGTTGTACTCACACAGAAAATGTTAGCAGGGTCCTGATTAATAATGGTATATGTTTTATCTGTATTATTAATCTAAAGTTTAAAAACAAACCCACCTCCCCATGTAGCCCAGACTGTTCCTTCTATCTCAGTCTTTCAAGAGTTGAACTTACAAGTGTATCCCCAACTCCTTGCTCATTAATCTGAAATTTTAAAAGTTTGAGAGCAGGGAGTTTGGACTTAGTGATAGCATGAGTGAGACCATAGCGATCCAGTCCAGAAAGAAAGCATTGAGCTTCCTGATTTCCCCTCCAGCTCTCTTATGCCTATCATGCTAAGCCTGTATTAGAATACTTGTAATTTTTTAAAACCAGCAATGTTTCAAAAAAAAAGTTTTGAATGATTATCTTCTTCCTCTCTTTTTCTTGCTTGAACCCAGTAGAGTGCCAGCACAGGATGGTTTCTGTCTAGATACTTTCTAAGTGACACTGCCTTTCAGTAACAACTCATTCTCAGAAACTTCAGTTCTCCTTTAACCCGCAGTCATGAATAGGAGCAATTGCCATTCATTAAAAACACAGCAGCAACCCCTACTTCTTCGAAGACCCTTGCCTCCAAAGCTCCCTAAGTTGCCTTTATGTAAGAAGAAAGTTCGAGCAGGTATGTACAGATATGTGTATTAACCTTCATGTGTTTTTTTCATAGAAATTCCTTGCTTTATATAATTATTTATATAATTATTATGTAATTATGGTAAGGTGATGACAACCAATGATCAACACTATGCTCATCGGTCCTCATTTGTGGATTTGTCAAGTGTGAATTTACTTATGGCTAAATTTATTTGAAATCTTTAAATCAATCGCTCTTTTTTTTGGACATTCATGGGAATGTGTGTTTAGGTAAATGGAAATACAAGTTCTCCAACGCATCTGCACCCAGCTGGATGAGCACGGCTACCTCTGCCTTCCTGTTTCAACTCCCTCCCATAATATAAATAAGTGCTCCTTTCCTGGTCTGTTTAATTCCATGTTTCTTGAATTTTTGTGCCCCCTTCCCCAGTGATTTCTTTAAGTGTAGTGCTGAACAGCAGTCCAAGCTAAAGAAGGTTGTGATGGGCTTAGAGATCATGTGTCAGGTGAACTTTCTTGATGTGTGAGTGTTCTTGGCTGTGAGGTCCATGTTAACAAACCAATAATATATTCTATGTGTTAATAAAGATTTAATGTGTCATCAATGTGACATAAATTATACATCCCTAAAAGATGAACATAGAACCACAAGATTGTGTGCTGAAGACGTTGAGAGCAGAGGCTTGAGGGAACCTAACCTATGTTCTCCAGGATCTCCGTGTAGGGTAACTGAACATTTGTTAAGAGTTCACAAATAATGAAGGTTGACTGTATTTGTTAAGCACAGTACTAGGGAGAGGCGATAAAACAGTTAACAAAGCCAGACCTTGCTCATCTCCTTTCGTTAGTTTCTGTCAAGTAGGATGGAGAGAAAAATTGTGAGCAAATGTAAGCTCACCCTGTGCTAAGTGCCATGAAGATGAGTCAGTTTAGGGCCTGGAGAGAAGGTTCAGTGGTTAAGAGCACTGGCTGCTCTTCCTCAAAGTACCAGGGTTCTGGTCCCAGCACCACACAGTTTCTTGCAGTTTTGGCATTCTCTTCTGGTCTCGGCAGGCACTAGGCATGCACATCATGTAGGCAAAACCCTCATATACGTTTTTTAAAAAATTAAAGATAAGCCACTTTTTTATTTTTTGGTTTTTACAAGACAGGGTTTCTCTGTGTTGTTTTGGAGGCTATCGGTCCAGCCCAGCCTCGAACTCACAGAGATCCGCCTGCCTCTGCCTCCCGAGTGCTGGGATTAAAGGCGTGCGCCACCACCGCCCGGCAAGATAAGCCACTTTTATGGCGTAACTTTATATAATCCTATTGCTCCTGTATGTCTGTATATTTCTCTACTAACTATTGTGTTTTCATAAGCAATAATATATCTTCACCTGAATTTCCTCTACCACTTTTTATTGATTGTATTATTTTGATGCCCGCATTTATATTGTGAGGTTTACTTATAATGTTAAATCTGTTATATTTTTGATTTATGCCTATTAAATATGTGAAAAGCAACATATTCATTACCTCTAATCCCACATGACCATCGTTGCATCATTTCCACATCATTCTTTCTGTGTTTCTGTATTGCCTTGTGTTTCTATATTTACAGCCTGTTCTTTAAATAGCACCCATGATCATACAGACTGACAGTGCGTTACCAGTTTCTGTGTTGGAGATTTTCTATTTGTCCTTTGGTTCCATGCCATATTCTAGTGCAGAATTTTCTCAACCTTGGCACTACAAAGGTTATTTGCTTTTGGCATCTTGGAGAGTATATGACCTTGACTAATGTCAATCCAGAGTACTTTGTTCAATAATAGGTGTTTGAGATATTTGCTCAATGAATGCACAAGTACAGTGGCTCAAGTCTAATTGATAAACATTAAACCCCTGAACAAAAACCTTTAAATAGCCAGAATTGGAACATACTGCTCATCATACACAGTTAATGAGCTTGTTTCTGCTTTTCATCACCTTTCAATTAGCCACTTTATAGTGAGCTTCACAAGAAAAGAAAGTGTGAAGCAACGGGCCAAAGCAGCAGCGTTGGATGCACTGTGTGTCCGGGTCCAGACTGATGTAGTTAGCAGGTCGGAAGGTACTGGGGTAGGAACAGGCTTGAACCAGACTTCGACTTAAAGTAGGATGAAAGAGGAGGTCATGTGGTTTTTTGAGAGCAGAGGAAAGTACTAGAAAAGTAGGGGTACAGTGATACAGTTAAGGATGCTGGTACTCATTTGCTGTTCTCTATCAGCAGAGGAGGAACTCCTTCAGCAGACACTTAGGAATTCTCTACAAGTCCCCCATCAGGTGGTTTGAAAAGGGAAATTTCATGCCCCTCTCCAGCCACCAAAAGGAGAGGGAGATTAAGGGAATAAGATGACAACAGCGCTATCCACAGTCCCTCTCTCTGAACCCAGATATGTCCACATACAGAGAGTGGGTAGTCAAGATGCCCGATAGAAAACTTTCATACCTTCCTACTGAAGTTCTGCCATAGTGAATCTGTTCCCTTCTTACTGGAATGTGATGCATCAGTTAAGACAACAGGAAAGTGGCACTTGTCATTCCGTCCCATAGGAAAGTATCGATGTATCTGATAGAGTGAGATACCCAAGAATACCATGGGTTTCTGGAACAAAGAGAGAAGAGTTCCTAGTGGAGAGATAAACCTTCGACATCTTCTAGTCAGTCCCTATGTCTGGAAGACTGCTTTTAAATTTTCATTTGGCATTTTTAAAAAATGGTGGTCTTTACCAAAAAAAGAAAAAAAGAAAAAGAAAAATTCCAGGTGGGGAAAGCTAATGATGAAAGCCATTTCATCAACAATCACTTTCTCCATTCATATTCCCAGAGTTTTAGTGACAACTGCCCCAAATCTCTCTTTATGTCTTCCACCTTTCCCTACGGCTTGTGTTTCTCCCAGAGTTGCTCTCCAGCCTTTGTTAAGGCGACCGGCTGTTTTCCTTGGCATTATTACAGCTTATTATGTATCTCTGTCAGCTTGATGGAAGTCTCTCTAGCCAAACAGGTCTGTGTTTTGAGGGGGAGTGATGTGCAAGTGCAAAATGGAAAACTTTAGTTGCATTGTGTGAACAGTGTGGTACATAGAAGCTAATCTTACCCCCCCCCCCCCACTTTTCTCTTGTTTAAGCCACTACCAGTCAACTTGAACAGACCCACGTGCAAGTCTCTGAGGATGAAAGCGATTCAGAAAAAGGAGAGGAAGGTGTTTTTCAATCACAAAGACCCCTCAGTATTCAAAGCATCTCTCTTGATCATGAGCATAAGGCTCGTGAAAGAGTGGTTAACATTTTACCACATGCACGCGGCACTCACCCCACCGTCCATTGGAAGATGCCACATAGCACTTCTGGTTCCATCTTTATTCCAAGGTGTCTGTCGGCATCTTCTCGCGTTTTCAGAAAAAAACTGCGCCAAATGAGAAGATCCAGAAAGCTCAAGAAAAAGAAAGACAAAAAAGAATCATTTTTCATAAATAAGCCAGTTAACAACATTTTAATTATCTCCCAGCAGTTTGCGAAACCTTTACCCCCTTCTTACTCTAGGCTTATAACTTCTAGATTTAAGCCAGCAAGTGCAGAGTCTCGCCCTGTACCGAAGACTCCAGACTATACTCAAGCACTTCCTCTTCTGAGAGATGTGTCGCTCAGCCCCGTACCCAGTACTTTATCTATAATACCAGAGCCACAGTGGTCTGAACGACCACCTCGTCCCAACGCCCCACTAAATAAAGTGATACTGAACATTGCTAGTCTCCCGGCAATTCATACTCTGCCGAGGCCTGCTTTACCAAGAAGACCTCCAAGACAGATTGCAATAGGTAAATAAAATTGAAACATGGTCTGCCATAGTGGGGTCAGTCAGAACAAAGGGAAGGGAAGAAATTCAAGGAGATGGATGGCTCCCTCCCCTCTGGGTTTTCAGGGTATTAAGAAGGAATCACCTTTTAAATTGATAATAATTCCTCAGCTTGGGAGCAACAACAGCCATCCTAACTTTATAGAGATACCTACTGGTGCCAACCTGACTACTCTGTTGTATTGATGAGTAGTGTTGATAAGAGCTCATCAGGAAGCTCTGAAAATACAACAGGGTCAGTGGGAAGGTAGGTGCCTGTAGTGTATTAGGTGGGGCCTGAGGTCATCAGGTGAAAATAAACAGCAAGTTACAGGGTGGTGGTCTAGATGATCCCTGAGCTGTGGGGAAGTGTTGGTGGGTGCATCCCAGGGCATTAAGTGATTATGAAATCGCCCTCAAAGGTTTCTAAAGGTTGTCCTTTGTTTTTCTTTTTATCTAGAAAGTGCTGCAGAAAGTGGAAAGGTAGAAACTCCCAAACCACCTGATGGTAAATGCTGGGTTCATTCCGTTCTTTTAGAAATTGTAAGATTATTTCCTCTCGCTACAAGTGTTTGTGTAAGTGTGTAATGTGCACACACCTGTCCCTACCTCATTTCCAGTTCCTTAGGCCATTTATTCAGCCGTTACTTCTTACATCTGAACGATGTACCAGATGTTGTACTAATGTTGAGAATGTAGAAGCTAATGTGTTCCTAATCGAGATAGGGCTGATAGACATGCAATTAGGAGAGTCAACTCTCACCACATACCAGACCCCATTCTAAGTGCCTGGACTTTAGTCATCTAGCAGAAACAAATGAAACCCATTTAAAGGAAAGGTTACATTATTCTGCTGCCAGAGGTGGTAGCAGACACCCATCATCCCATCACTTAGTAGGTGGAAGCAAGAAGATTGGAAGTTCAATGCCAGCCCGGGCTACATAGTGAGTTCTGTTCCAGGGTAAAAGACCTTGTCTAAAATACTGCCCTGTTTTGGACCTCACGTTTATGTCTACCTACAATCTGACAGATGTAGTATGTGGCAGATTATTTATCATTATCAAGCACGCAAAAACAAAAAATGAAAAGTAGCAGAAACAGTATTAGAGGTACCCGGCAGATTTTAAGTAAGGTGCATAAAACATCTGGGGAAGGCACTGGAAAGTAACCCTCGCAGGCATGACTCAGGTGGCCCCACTCCCCAAACTTAGAGAAGCTTATGGGTTAGTAGGGCCGGTGAGCAGTGAGCAAGCTGGAGTCCGTATCTTGACTCATCCCCCTGTCCTCCTTACTCTGTCCCTCCTCTAGTGACCAGCCTGGCCTACAGAGCCTCCAAAAAAAAGTGCTTCTGCAAGTAATATAACAAAAATAGTTGCGGGTTTAAACTGCATGTCATATAATTTTAAAATATTTTCTAATTAGAATTTGCTTTATTCTTGCATATCTGATGCAAGTTAATACCTTTAGGGGATATGAAAGTAAATTCAAATGCAGTTGATCTCTGCTTGACTAACTGCTGGGTGGCTTCTTATTTCCTTTCCTTCTCTGTATGGAAATCTACACACACAGGGAAGAGTTAACTTGCATAGTGCATTGGAGCTACATAAGGACATAAGTGAAGATGTCCCTAGGGAAGTGACATCCTAACTATGCTTTTATGACACCCATTATAAGTTTTGTCAACCAAAAGCTTGTTCATTTCATTTATACTGGAGACTTTTTTTTAATTCTCTTTATGTGTAGCTCCAAACAGGCAAAGGTTTAATCTAAATTTTCAGGTAGGATCTATCGGTGAGCATACAGTTTTATTTGGATAGACAGTTTTGCAACAAGCAAGACCCATGTGGCACACAGACCAGTCCAGATGGTTTTGATGAATGAGCTGGGGAATTGCTTTGGGAAGATCTGGATAGCTAATCCCTTTAGTAACTCACTCTTGTAAGAGCATGAATGTCACTTAACCATCATACTAGGTCATAATACACTCAAGTTCTATGTTTTTCATTTGTTTTACTTAGCTGTAGTTAAAACTATGAGAAAAGTGGACCCAGAGGCCCATGTTTTACGAGGGGAAGGTTTTAAGACTATTGCAGCAACACGCTTTGAAACAATAATGGCGATGACCACCCTGGCCATAATAAATTGCCAAATATATGGAAGGAATGCACTTAGTCTTAAGGTATGCTAGATCTCTTTAATAGTAATGTCTTCTTGTGTTATCAATTGTTTTTTATCTTGAGTTTCCCAATATGGGTTAGTTTCCATTCCATTGAAGGAGTCTTCTCAATTCCAACAGAGATTTTCCAGGAACACATGCAAATTATACCTCTAACTTTACCCATCCAGGTTTGTTTGAGAAATTATACTGTTTTTATTTTTTCATTATTTAGCCTGATAAGTAGGATTGAGATTGTTCATATTTTTAAATTGTCAGAAGCCTTAGACCTTGTGTCAGGTCTCGTGTGAGTCTGGTTTGCACGGAGCACTTGCACTGCCTAGCAAACGAGTCATAGCATTGCTGCTTGTCATTTACTGAGCACACTATGCTCCAATCCCGTGCTTCTCCTACAAATCCCCTTCTGCAAAGTCGGCACTGTCATCTTCATTTCACAGCTGCAGACCTGGAGGTGGCAGGAGAGTGACTTGCACAAGACCTCACAGTGAGTTAGCAGAGTTGCGTTTGTACCCAGAGCTATTTGCTTGTCTGAGACAGGCTCTCCTGAACTGGCCATGTAACTGAGGATGGCTTTTGATCCCCATGCCTCCACCTCCTGAGTGCTGGTATTGTAAGTATGTGCCACCATGCCCCACTTACATGATGACGAGAATGGAATCCAGGGCTCCGTGCATGCTGAGCAAGCACTCTCCCAAAACAAACTACACCCACACTTGCCCACAACTCTTTGGCCTTGAAAATCCATTTGACTTTTTTTTTAAAGAAAGAAAAAGGAAAGAGGAGGATAAGAAGAGAGGATGTTAGTGAGTTCTTAAAGTGTCACCTATTAGCCAGAGTGAAGTATGCATGTTTTTCGTGTTAGTAAATGAATTAATTTTATCACCCCAACAGTCACATTCCTACCCAGAAATCGCTTTAGTTGGCCACGTAATGCATTCTGTAGTCCTGGAGGGACATTTCATCAGGAAAGTACTCTGGTTCCAGATTGCCACGGGCATGTCCAGTTCTTTTTATTCTCAACTAAGATCCCATCTTGAACAAGCATGACACTGTGTAAAAATGCAGAAGTGGTACAAAATTGAGTAACTTAGCAAAAGTCCAGCATAGAGTATTTACATACATCCCTCAACCCCCCACCCTCCTAAGAACGGAAACAGATTACCTACAGAACAATAAAAACATGCTCATTGTCTCATAAAGTAGAAATAATGCAGGCTGGGGAGAGGCTTAGTTGATAAAGCACCCACATCCAAGCCTCGAGACCTGAGTTTGAATTTCTATCCTCCTCATAAAGCTGAGTGTGTTAGCATGAGTATGTACCGTGTGGTCCTGGGAAGAAGCAAGAGAATCCTCAGAAGCTAAAGGGCAGCCTTCTGTGTGCAGTGTGGAACAAATAGATGCAGTCTCAAGGTGGAAAGCCAAGATTGATCCCCAAGACTCTCCTTTGACTGCCACATGTGTCTTGTAGAACACATATACACGTATCCATCATGCATACACGCAAAGAATAATATGATTTAAGACTACGTAGAGTTGTCATTTTTCTCGTTAAAGATCAGAAAAGTTTTGGCAGTGCATCCTGCAGTATTAGTATTAAAAAACTGTTCAACATAGAATTTACTGTTAATAATTGATCTTATTTTCTGTTACTCTCCTTTAGGGATTCTTTCTTCTGCGCTGTCCAGACTTAACACCTGTGGCTTTTCAATTGATATACCTTAACTTATCATTTAATGACCTCAACTACTTTCCTGTGGAAGTGAGTCCACTTTTTTCGTGTCAATATTGCTATAATTTACTGTTGTAAATAAAAGTAGATATTTTATGATATCCTGAAACAAATACGCATTAGACGGTGTCTACAAAGGCTTTACTTAGTAGAAGTGAAGAAAGTATAGCACATATTTCTTTGAAATTCATGGACATAAGCCCCAAATGCTATGTTACACTAAGCTCTCAAATATGTTCTCATTCTGTATAATTCATAAAAATAATTTATTCTTCTTTTAGTAACATTTAAAATTAACTTATCTGTGTGCTTATCAGAAAATTATAAAACCAAGCTATCTTGGGTGGACTGCAGTGTAACAGTTTTTTTCAGCACACGATAGGACCATCTCACTCATGAACTCTCAGCAGATCAAGCTGGTCCACAGTTGATGACTGGGGGAGGGACAAGCACGTTTTCTTAAGTGTTTGGCCCCTGGTAGGTCAACCCAATCCTGTGGGTAGCCTCATAAGCATGACCATATGGGCAGTGCAAATTAGATTCAATAACAGACTATTTAAAACAAGAGAACATGATGTTGGGGGAATGAATCTGGAGTTAGGAGAAGGAGTGGGAGTGAATATGGTTAAAATACATTTGATATACTATGAAATTCTCAAAGAATTAAAAAAATATCTTTGAAATGCTAGTGACCATATAACATTGTAACAAGTTTAAGTTGCCAGCAGCTAAAATAGGACAACCAGGCATAGGGTGACCTAATTTGATATCCTTTTTATAATAAATGAGGCATTATGAATAATTAGGACAGGTTTTGTTTATATTGTCTTATTCAGCATTTTACTGATCATGAGATAACAGATTGTATTATGAAACAACTTTCAGTATATTGACTTTTAGCAAACTGATTTAGCAAATTGACTTATCTGTTTCAAATAGTATTTAAAATATGGTCTCCAACAGTCGACAACATGCCTGTTTCATGAATCTTACGTCTTGTGGAATGAGAGCATCTACATTTTCATGCAAACCCCTGTGCATGGCACAGTCTGTGCTGATAAGAGCTAGGAAGACGTGTGCAAGTGTTACAGGACAAGGTGCTGCAACGTGTCTTATTTCAGAGAGGGCCACTTTTATGTCTAACATGTGACGCTGGGTTTATTAACAAGGATTTCTAAGACATACGAGGATCTTGGTTCTTCACATTTATCTTTCTCCTGAGCAGATACAGGTGAGGAGTGTTTGCCAAAACAAAACAAAACAAAGCAAAACAACAAAGCCTGTCTACCCACTGGAAAACAGAATGCAGGATACAAGGACACAGCTGTCACATGAGAATGTGATGTTAGCATGCAAAGGTGTGATTGTGATGTAAGAATATGATGCTAAAATGCACACCTGCGCTGTCTATGGGGATCCTTTTAAAAGACATGAATCCCGGAGAGGGGGCTATTTAAGAAAAAGTGATCAGTGAGAGGGAACAGAGAGGGCAACACAGGTGTGTGACCATAGTTGAAGTATATCATGTACATGTATTAAAACATCATAATGAAGCCCACTATTTTGTATAATTTACACTATTCCAAAAAAGCTATGAACAGAAAGTAAAAACACAAGAAAAAAATACACCCGCAAATAATACTGAGAAAATTTACAGGCAAAACTAGAGTGACTGTAGTAATACAGACAAATAGAGTTCAAGCAAGATATTAGTGGAGACAAGGAGAAAGAAAAGTCTAGTAGGAGGATATATCGTTATAAATATATGTAATAGCAGAACCACAAGTGCAGGGAGCAAACTTGGACGCAGAACAGTTATTATTGGACAGTCTAACACCCAACTTTCAATAATGCCCAGAACAACGAGGCAGAAGATAAGGAGGGAACAGAGACTGAACGGCACTAGGTAAACCCATGACACAAGCCAACTGGTAGTAGTAGAATACCAAGTTCTCAATTTTAACAGGGACACTTTTCAAAACAGACCATGTGCCAGGCCCCCAAACAAGTCATGATAAATTGAAAAGATTGAAGCCAAGCATGGTGACATGTACCTGTGGTCTCCAGTGTAGGGCAGGCTGAGGCAGGGAGATTATTACCTTGAGAGAAAACTGGATTACGTAAGGAAATTTTGTCTCAGAAAAAAACTAAAACGTTGAAAAATCATAAAAGTATTTTGGCTATAACATAATGATGCTGGAGATAAATAATTGAAATTGACATTTCACTAATATGTAACATGAAAAATAAAGGACCCAGAGACTGATAATTGGGGTTCAAACTTCGAGTTGAAGATCAGAAAAGCACAGCAGCTGGCCACTAGCTTCTTACCTCTGCTTCAGGCTGAATGGACTGGTCCTGTTTCCACGAATTCTCACCAAGCCTCAGACTGCAACCTCTCCTCAGTGTCACTGGAGAATGAATGTCTATACTGACCCTGCTTCTATCTTTTATACCCTTCTAGTGCTGGGATTAGAAGCATGTGATCTGTTACTCTTTTAGACTGAATCAATCTCATGTATCCCTGGATGGCCTTGAACTCAGAGAGGTCCATTTATCTGTTAATCCTGAGTCCTAGGGATTAAAGGTGTGTGCCACCACCTCCTAGCTTCTGGCTGTTGGGATTAAAGGTGTGTGTCACCACTGCCTGACCTCTATAGCTTGAGTTTGCTTTTCTGAATCCTCAGTCTAGCTGTAATAAATCATAAATAATATATCACCATACTGACATGTAGAAATTAAGCAACTCATTTTTCTTACCAAAAGCTACTTTTCACACGGTATATTTTGATCATGATTTTCCCCTCAACCAAGTCCTTACAGATCCTCTTCTTACCCACCTAAATGTGTTCTTATTTCTCTGTGTCTTTAAAAAACAACACACACACACACACACACACACACACACACACACACGCATCCCGCACAAAAAATGGAAAGCCAAACATACAGGCAAAGGGCCAATAAGACAAAAAAAAATGGCCAAAGAAAAAATGAGACAAAAAGGCTACAAAAATACCGTTGAGTTTGTTTTGTGTTGGTCAAGTACTCCTAGGCATGAGACCTACCCTGAAGTGTGGGTAATATACTCAGTGAAATTCCTTTGGAGAAAACTACTTTTTCCTTTGTCAGCAGGTGTCAGTTGCAGACAGCTTCTTGGTTAAGGATAGAGGCCTGTGTTCCCTTTCCCTTCTTGGCGCTGGGAAGTTACGACAGCATGCATTAGACCTGTGCAAACTCAAGCCAAACAAAATTTCAGCATGGAGAGGGAGGAGGGCACAGAGACCCACCCCAAGCTGAGACCATTGGCATTTGATAATTGCTGGGTGAGGGAAACTCAGTTCTCACCCCTGATCGGTCAGGCACACTCCACAGAGTCTTTATACCCAACAATAGTAGTTGTCTCACACAAACTGGACTCGTTGGGGTGGGGCCAACACATGCAAATGAAGCTGCATGGGTAGGGAGGTGGGAATGGGGTGGATCTGGGAGGAGTTGGAGAGGAGGGGTGAATATGATCAAAATTCATTGTATGAAATTCTCACAGAATCAATAAAAGCATTATTTAAAGGGGGGAAAGTAGGCCCATTGAAATTAGGAAAACAGAGCTTTATAGCCTCCTTCATGACTTCGATGTCCTGATTCCCCCCTTACTCATCATCCGGTGTCACCCAGCATTTCTCTTTTTTTCTAAAAGTATTTAATGAGACACACAATACGTTTTTCTATACTGATTTTATTGTATTGGTTTAAAACATTTATAAAAGACATGCATAAGAGTTTGTGTGCTTTTCATTCAATTAACATTTTTTTTTCTACTCCTCAGGTATTTTGTCTTCAAAATCTACAAGTACTGAAACTGAGAAATAACCCTATCAGAGAAATTCCTAATGAAATCCAAAAATTGAAGTACCTCAGGAATTTCTGCATTGCCTTTAATCTCATCAGAGAGCTTCCTACTGGGTAAGGTCAAGCATCTGAGGGGGACACAGAAGTAAATGATTTGTATTTGTTATATTTAGTTATAAAGTATTTAGTAAAGTCTCAGTTTCCCCCTTTGAAAGTCATAGAAGAAGCATTTTGGTTACTTAAGAACCCTCGTGCTGCTACAGTTAGCAGACACACTTCTTAATGTGGTATTCAAAGTAACCCTCCCGGTTACACAGGGCAGTTAGTATAGCTCTGACAAATGCACATCTAAAGGTTCAGGTGAGAGCACTGTGCATACCCACTGTCAGTGCTTTTGGATATGGAAAACACTGCACTTCCAGGCAGGTGAGAGCCTGTACTCTTCAACGGCTGCTGGAAAGCCAGCGACCCAGGTGAGAAGCAAGGGTAGCCTCGGCTGAGATCCAGGTTTGACGAGTGTGTGTACTGTGGCACTTTGGCGGTCACTGGACGACTTCCTATTTTATTTTACACATTAAGTGCCCTGAGAAGCCCTTGCCTGATTGTAAGCAGGGAAGTGGCATAATTAAAGGGAGGAGACTCGAAGGAAGGAAAGCAACAAGTTCAGCTTCAAATGGACGTGTTGGTTCATTTGAGTTTGTGTTGTGGCTGATGTTGTTACTTGGGTTTTCTTCACTGAGACATGGTCTTGTTAAATAACCCAGGCTAGCCCAGAGGTGGTGATGCTCCCAGCCCAGTCTCCTGAGTGCTAAGATCACAGCATGCAGCACTGTGGTAGTATTTTCCTTCATCAAGCTGGGCTCAGACATTCTGCACACTCACAGGAGAGTGTTGTCCTGGAGACAGGAATTCCGACTCATTGGGATATACTAACAAACAAGGAAGGCTGAACACTCTTTTTAAAATGCTATACAGAGAAGCTTTCTGATAGTTATTAAACTTACTTTCTCCAGCTCTGGCTTGGCATTATACAAACAGCTTAATGACACAGTAGAGTTACAAAGACTTTTACAAATCCAAGTGTGATACTCTTGATCCAAATATTTTAAATGGCATCAATTTAATTAAAAATACACATTAAAATGCAGGCTTGACATACTAAACTTTTTATAATCTCAATACCACAGAATACATATAATATTCTATACAGATGTGGAAAATCTAGCTAGCATGTAATATTTTGCTCACCATGAACAGCTTATTATGTGAAGTGCACATAGTGACTTAGAAACTCCTAGCTTTTGAGACCCAGAGTGTCTTTGAAATTTAATGCACTACAACAAATAAAAATCACGGTATATAATGGAAATTTTGGTTGAACATGTCAGATTCCTAGATATTTTGGATAAATGTGAGCTCTTCTTTTAAAAAAAATATCTGGAGAAACAGCAACATGCCGCGCAGTGATAGATAAGAGGAAATTGCAGAGACCAGGGTAAAGGGAACACTCGGTCTGTACAGAGGCAGCCAGATGCATAGAGAAGACAAGTGAGCGGATCCCCTCCTAGGGGGGTGATGGCAAGAGTCAAACACAACAGAGAAGCCCAGTCAGATGAAAGCCAAATGGTCAGAGAAAACGTCACAAAGCACATTTTATGGCCAGCCTGGGCTACACAAGACCCTGTTTCAAAAAATGAAGGAGATTGTCTCTTTCTTTTAATATGTGGTTACATTTTTACTTATGATTTTTGTGTAATAAGCTGTTTTCCTCAGCTGTGTTACTTGGTGACTAAGTTTTTCCAAAAATGTCATGGGGTTCTTTCACTATATTTTACCATTCCTAGTTAGTTCCTTCTAGCTGCATGTCACAAGTGAGAAGGCACTGGGCTCCCAAAGGCCAGCTCAGTACCATCGATACTGAACGTTTTGGCAAGCCACTCACACCTTGACGTCATTTTCTGTTGGAAAGGCTAGACAAAGGGCACTCGATTTCAAGAACACTACAAAAGCCAAGGGAAAATATCTTGGCAACTGTTTTGTAAAGCCTTCCAGTTATTTCTAAAGCCTTTTCTTTTTTTCCTTGAACCTACATTTATACCATGAAATAAAACAACCAGATCATTGGAAGATGCTTTTCCCCCTTGTATTGAAAATGGATTTTTTTTCCTCACATAATATATCCTAATTACGGTTTTCCCTCCCTCTACTCCTGCCAGTCCCTCCTCCCCTCCTCTCCCTTCCCCTCCCACCTGGACCCACCCCCTTTCTGTCTCTCATTAGAAAAGAGATTTCTGAAGGATAATAATAAAATAAAATAAACACATTGGGATTGGACAAAACCAAGAGAAGGACAAGAGCCCAAGAAACTGTAAGACCCAGTCACTCACTCACTCAGTAAACTCATAAAAACATTACATTAGAAGCCATAATATATGCAGAAAACATGGTGCAGACCGATGCAGGCCCTGTCTGTGCACGCTGCTTCAGTCTCTGTGAGTCTGACTACTGCTGATTTAGCAGGCCTTGCTTCACTGATGTCCTCCATTCCCTGTGGTTCTTGCATTCTTCCCCTCATTTTCTGCTGGGTTCCCTGAGCCCCGAGGGGAGCGAGGTGATAGAGACACCCTGTTTAAGGCTGAGTGTTCAAAGGTCTCTCATTTTCTGTGTATTGTCTGACTGTGGGTCTCTATGTTTGCTCCCATCTGCTGCTGGAGGAAGCTTCTCTGATGGTGGCTGAGCCAGAAATTGGTGTATGACTATAGCAGAATATCATTTAGAGTCATTTTATTGCTATATTCTTTTGGTAGAAGAGTAGTATTTGTCTTTACCCCAGGTCCCTGGGCCATCTAGTCTCAAGTACTTGGTCACCCAAGTAGTGTTGGGTGGGTATATGTTCTATCTCCTGGAGTGGGTCTTATGTCAAATCAGATGTTGGTTACCCCTACAAGCTTGATGCTTCCATTGTACTAGCTCATTTTGCAGGCAGATACCACTGGGGAATTGAGACCACTGATGTTGAGAGATATCAATGAGCAGAGTTTGTTGATTGCTGAGTGTCATTAACTCTTTAGGTTGGAATTTTCCTTCCAGCCTTCTGTAGGACAGGATTTGTAGATAACTATTGTTTAAATTTGGTTTTATCATGGAATGTCTTATTTTCTCCATCTATTGTGATTGACAGTTTTGCTGGGTATAGTAGTTTGGGTTGGGGTCTGTGGTCTCTTAGAGTCTGTAGCACATCTGTCCAAGCCCTTCTGGCTTTTAGAGTCTTCTTTGAGAAGTCAGGTGTTATTCTATTAGGTCCTCCTTTACATATTACTTGGCTTTTTTTTCCATTGCAGCTTTTAATATTCTCTCCTTGTTCCATAAATTCAAGTGTTTTGATTATTATGTGTCAAGGGGAGTTTCTTTTCTCCTCCAGTATCCTGTATGCTTCTTGTACTTTGATAGGCTTCTCCTTATTTAGATTAGGACATTTTTCTTCTATGATGTTGAAAATATTTTCTGAGCCTTTGACCTGGGTTTCTTCTCCTTCCTCTATTCCTATTATTCTTAGATTTGGTCTTTTCATAATGTCCCAAATTTCCTGGATGCTTTGTGCCAGGAGTTTCTTTAGATTTAACATTGTCTTTGACCTGTGTATTCATTTCTTCTATCGTGTCTACAATGCCTGAGAATCTCTCTTCCACCTCTTGTGTTATGTTGGTGATGTTTGCATATGAGGATTCGGTTCAGGTTATCACTCCACATTCCTTTCAGTTTCGGTTTTCCCATTGAGATCTTGACCCGTCTTAGTCATTTCCTTTCACTGTTTGTTTGTGTCTTCATAGATTTCTTTAAGAATTTTATCCATTCTCCTTTAAAGACCTCTATCATATCATAGAGGTTATTTTAAGGTCTTTATCTGTTGTTCCAGTTTTGTTGCAATACTTGGGGCCTGCCGTGGTAGAGTTGCTGAGCCTGGTGGAGACAGACTGTTCTGGCTGTTACTGATTGTGTTTTACTCTGGCATACAGACTTCTGGATCTGGGAATATTGTAATTCTAGGTGCTGATATCTGGTCTTGTGGTTTTCTTTTTCCCCTTGATTTCTGTTGTTGCTCTCTGGTTCTTAGGAGAGGGTGATGACTGTGTGTTGCCCAGTAGTAAATTCTGCTGGAATCCTGATAGATGTGGTCACTGGGTTTTCTGGACATTAGAAGCTGACACCTAGGATAGGGATGGGATGGGGGGGCATAGGAGGGAGGAAAGAAGGGTGCTCCAGGAGGATCTGCTTAGGTCCCTGGGAATGGAGGCAGAGAGTAGGGAAAGGCCACAATGGTGGTCTTCTCCAGAGCTGGGAACGAGACTGGAGGAGGACAGGGAGAGTGAAGACCTGCTATCCGCCAGCTTGCCTCCCTGACCAGACTAGGCTGCAGATTCCCTGGGAGTGCCTCCTGGAGTTGGAGCCTGGGGTGATATAGGATAAGTGAGGGGGAGGAAGTTTGAAGTCTCTGTGATGTGATGAGACAGAGAGGAAATCCCGGAGGCAAAAAAGCAAACTATGATCTTGAGTTGAAAACACAGAGTAGATATAAGAAGAAATTGGGGATGACCACTGAATTACAAAGGATTACCTTACATCTCCCTAATCAGTACCACCAGTTTCTCAGAGAAAAGGAGTTTAGACTAACTGGGATTCATTCATTTCTGATATATTTGGTGATATGTCGGATAGATAGAAATAGATGGAATTTCTGGTCTCCAGAATCTCACAGTTGTACACAGGGGCAGGGGCCAAGAGAGGTTAAGTGACACACAGAAGTGTTGGCTCTTCCAGTTGAAAAGATCTGGAGAGAGCACTGTGCAAGCAAGAAGCAACACCTGGGTTAAGTTTTCCAACATGAGAAGACAATGACCAGGGTCAGGTTTGGGCAGGTGCTGCACAGTGTTTGGAGATACGCAAGGACTGTTCACTCGGACACCTGTAACCAGTAAGTGGTGGCTCACTGGCGAGCGTAGGATGCGGAGTGACAGGTGCAGTGAAAGTAACTGAACACAGCATTCTGCAGATCTCCATCTGCCACACTGAAGTAGTGGGAAGTCAGTGAAATCCTGCGCTCAGGACGCCTTTGC